GAGGAGGGGGACAGAATAATAGAGGGTGGGGGACACAGTAACTGAAGAAGGGGACAAATAACTGAGGAGGGGGACAGAGTACCTGAGGAAGGGGACAGAATAACTGAGGAGGGGGACACAGTAACCGGAAAGGAGGGGAAGGTACTAAAGATATACACCTGGTGGAATGATGGGGGGTACTAAGAGGATATGTGCTGGGGTTGCTTTGGGATGGGAGAGGACTTGTGGTGGGGAAAGGGGGTTGTATTTGAAATCCCCCCACTTCATCCTCTAGCACAAGTCCTCTCCTCTCCTAAAGCACCCCCAGCATATATCCTCTTACCCCCTCCCCCAAATCAAACAGATGCTGCCTGCCACAGAGGGGGCAAGCGCAGCGGGGAAAGGGTCTAGGGTGCCCACTTTGGTGTGACTTTGGTAGACAAGTTACTAAAGCCAAGTGCCAGAACTTGCTCTGGCACTGGCCTCCAGAACTCAGCCCAAGTTCCTGGGACACCAAGAATCTTGGGAAGTTTCCACCAAAACTGGTACAGTTAGGAGATATGGATTTGTAGTAGAAGGGGGGAGAGAGCGGAGAAGATTTGTTTTTGGGGGGGAGTATTTGTACTGGGAAGATTTGAAGATCTATAGATATGTGCTGGTCGGGGGGTATTTGTACTGGAATGGGGGTTATGCTAGAAGGGAGGATTTGGGGGTGGAAGAGGATTTATTTTGGGAGGGAGATTGAGGGGAAGGGAGGATTTGTGATGGGAGGTCGGATTTGGGGAAAGTGGAGGAGGATTTGTGCTGAGGAATAAAGGGACCTACGAGGGAAGTTTAGGGCCCCAGGATGAATGGGAAGGGCCCCTGGCTTAGAGGGAGGGACCCTGGATGAGGGGTAGGGGGCCCTTCATGGTTTCTTGAACTGGGGCCCTGAAGGTTCTAGTTATGCCTCTGGTCTCATCTGAGATTATATCAGCAGGTTAATTTTAACAAATAGTTTTATGCTGTACATATAATTTAATAGTAGCACATATTTTATAACAACAGGGAAAGAGGACAAAAACATAAAAAAATACACCTCTCCTTTGGGAAAATAAGCTATAACTTTTGAAACTGTGGTAATACAATCTGCTCTGCTGCACAGAAGGTTTTCTCTTTAACAAGTCAGACGTACAGTTTGTAATTATAAAAAAAACCTTCTGACTTACAGCAAACAAAGACTATTTTCTGTTCAAAGTAGCCTACAGTTTCTTAGGTACAAGAATCTTGCTCAGACAAATTTCCTTCCCTAATGACTTCATTATTATTTATTATACAGGATTTATATAGCACCATGTTTGCTCAGCGCTTTTTAATATATAACGGGAAACAATACAGCAACAATACAGTTCAAGAGCAAGAGGGATAGGAGGGCCTGATCCTTGGAGCTTACAATCCAAGAGACTTCATGCTTACTGGAGCAACATTTGGTTTGCTGAAAACAATTGGCATGCAGTGTTCACTAGTGCCTGTTTTTTTTTTTACAAGGAATTGGCTGGTTCTTTAATTGGGTATGGGATGGCTTTGGGGGTCTTTGGAATCGGGGTCAACTGAGCCCACAGCCAAAAGAGGTTATAGGTAAGCCTGGTACAGACAGCTGAGAAGATAGAGCTAAAAAACAATATTTAGATGGACACTGTCTCACTACCAGAACATACCTTCAAGATGCACTGTATGTGTATGTATAATGTATCTCCTAGATTGTAAGCTCCAAGGAGCAGGGCCCTTAAGGCTTGGCACTCTCTCAACACCCTCTTGTATTGAACTGTATTGTTGCTGTATTGTCTCCCATTATATTGTAAAGTGCTGAGCAAACTGTTGGCGCTATATAAATCCTGTATAATAATAAAAATAATTAATAATAATAAGACGTACAGTATATAAAATAACCCTTCCCCTAAACAAACTAAGATACATATGTGTGCCTGCTTGGGAGTGCATCTGCCCAAGTATCTGCCCAATAGATAAGTCATTATAGCATATACAGAATGGAATTTTATCCAAGCAGATAGAACAATTTTCTAGATCCATATCTTCATTTCAAGTAATGTATATACTACATACTTATTAGAAGGTTGCTGCCTTCAAGGGAGACAATAATCCTGGATACTCACCTTACTGGATGGCAATACCTTGTAGCATGTAACACATCACTAAAAAAAATCTGCCTGGGAGATTGACTGGTGGGATATGCTTTATTCTGGCAGTTTATGCACATAATGCAGCTAAATACACATTGAACTGCAGATTAGTAGCAAGAATTACATATACATTTTTATGATTACTGGCTTATTACTCTGGAGCAGTGAAATCAATCTCACAATCTCACGGAAACATTATACCCTTTATTTGGAGTTTAAAATGTCAATTACAGTAGATTCAGCTAGTTTTGTTTTTTTTAACAGAACTTGATGGCAGAACATTGACATGTAATTCTAAGGCATGTAGTCTTCCACTTACAGAAATGCCAGAGGGTGAAGTCTGGAACCAGAAAACACAGTCTTAATTTTTTTTAGACGGATTTTTAGTGCCATTGAATAAACAAAAATTATTTCCAGACTTTGATTTTATTAAACTTGGAAGGCAGCTTTACAAGGTGGATACTAGGACAACAATTCAAGCTACTAAGTAGTTAGGCTTTGTTGCCAGAACTAGATTTAATGCAATGTTACAAAAACAATTGAGTACTGTCTGTAATACTTTTTTTCAAATTTGCAATAACATTCAAATTTTCAAGGCAAGGTTCTTCAAGCAGTCAGCAGAACCTTGAAGAAGGAGGTACACCCCAAAAACTTGTCCTGAAAATTTTGATGTTTTTGCAAACAAAAAGTTTTACAGTAGTACTCAATGGTTTTTGTTGCAAGTGCACTAATATGGCTATACTTACCTCAACTATGGAATATGTTCATATTTTGCTGGAGTATAGAGAACCCAAATTACCAAGTGGCTCATGCAGGGGTAGCACTTCATTTAAATACCATTTACTGATTTTCTCTATCCCAGTTGATGACAGCTTATAGGAAGCACTGTTTCTAGTTGGTCTACCAAATCAAACAATGTGTCCTTCATTCCATGTAGAGATGATTGCTTTACAACTCACTGTAGAAATAAAGCAGGGTCGCTATTTTCAGATTCTCCGGATGTGATTGTCAAATCCCGAAATTCTCTGGAAATTTCTTCTATGCAGAAGTATATTTATTAAAGCAAAGTGCAATAAAACAAAGCTGAAATCTGACATGTCTTTATGGATTTCTGAACATTTTCCACCCTTATTGCTGTTTCCTCTGTTTTACTGAATAAACCTGGATGCCTGTATACAGTTTCTAAACTTACCGCACTATTCCAGATCTATTGACTAGTTGTTTTTTCTGTTTTGAGAATGCTATTAACCTAGGGTCTCACATAACCCAGCATGAACTGTAAAAGTAACATGTTCATGTAAGGTATCTATTAAAAAGAGTATCTGTGAAGTCATTTACAGGAAAAAGCTAAAGGTCACCCACAATTCAATGAGATCTTCAAGTAATGACTAAGTATAACCTTTACACTGTGGTCAATACCAGCTCACTGAACAAATATTACTCATAAAAATGGGAAAAGTGACCTCACTAAAACTTGTTAACCATAAATGGCAAAGTGAACACTTATTTTATAGGCAAAGTAAATGGAATCTAGGGCATCCCTTCTTTAATTTATTAAAGTATGTACACCTTTATAAAACCTATGCATACAAAGTATCCCCCTGGAGTGGGTCATCTTTTATCAAGAATTCACTGACATCATTTTATTTATTATTGCCTACAAAATACCTAGTAAATTAGTTTTATCTACCTTATATGATATCAGAAGTGAGAATAACTCCTTAGGGCACGGGTGAGCAACTGCAGCCCTCCAGCTGTCATGGAACTACATGTCCCATGAGGCATTGAAAGGCTGACAGTTGCACCATGACTTGCAGAAGCATGATGGGACTTGTAGTTCCACAACAGCTGGGGGGCCACAGTTGCCCACCCCTGCCTTAGGGTACCACTGGTTCAGACTTTGTGGTCTAAGGAAAGAATGGGGTTGATTTACTAAAGCTGGAGAATGTGAAATCCACTGCAGCTCTGCAAAAATCAGCTTCCAGGTTCTTTATCAAAGCTTAATTGAGCAAGCTGAAGTTAGAAGCCGATTGGTTACCATGCACAGCTGCACCAAATGTTGCACTCTCCCATTTTAGTAAATCAACCCCCCGTTGTCACAAGAGAACTTTGTCTGATTTATCTGTCTTTTTAATATGATTAAATCCTCAGCTTTCATTACAATAATTCCAGTTGATCCTGCCATGGCCATCCTTGTTCAGGACCTTCTTGTTGACACTCTTCTTTCCTGTCTCCCAACTGTTCTCCTGCATTTTCATCCTGGGCTTCCAATGGAGAATACAAGTGGACATTTCAACATATACAGTATGTGAGTAGGAGTGATCCACTGTTGTTAACAGGAAATCTATCCTGAGGAATTCTAAGTGACCATCATGTAGAGATGAAGAAATTTCAAAGAGTATACAGAAGATTAGTAGAAATGAGATGCAAAAAAGGATGATAAATGAACTTTTTACTGAAAAAATGGTTAGTGTTATAATACCCAGTGCTTTATAATTATGTGTGTTTATGAATAGCTGTCAGGACACTCAAATCAATCCCTTTCTGTGTTATTTGCTATTTTCTTTCTTACTGGACTCACTAGCGCATGTTGATGGTCTGCCACATTCCCAGAATCTCAGCAATACCAAAATCCTATAGAGCAGGGGCGGCCTGACCATTCGAGCACTCGGGCACTGCCTGAGGGCCTGGGGTCAGTAGGGTGCCCCATAAAATGCCCCTGGTACCTTTTTTAGGCTTTTTTGTGTGTGCTTTGAGTGTGGGCAAGGACACAGGGGCCCCATGATCCTCTATTGCCGGGGGGGCCCAATGAGTTGTCAGTCCAACCCTGCTATAGAGTACTTTGCCGGGATTGCAGTTTCACAATGCCTTTGCTGCCATTACCACACATGTGCAGGATGGGAAAATTATGTCTGCAAGGAAGTAAGTGCCATAATGATTCTAAACAAGTTTACTTCTACTTTAAATAAACGTCACTGATCAAGGTGAAAAACCATATATATGGTAATAGTATAACATAGTATTAAATATTGCAACACTCACAAAGACACTCTAGATGCATAAACTTTTTTTTAAAGCATATACATTATTACTGATCATATCTAGACATAGATGCATAGGTATAATTGTGTTTTTGAAATATTTGTTCTTGTTTAACTGCAGTTAGAAAAAGTCTAAAACGTTGGGTTCAATTATAAAAGAAATAATATGGAAAAAAACAAATAAGGAACTATAAAATGTGTTTATTGAATAAAATTGATGAAATGTAAAAAGAAATAGTACCAAGAAGATTTTTCTGAGTCAAACTAGCAGAATGTTTCTTCCACTCATATGTTTTCAATTCACTTTGGCTTTGATTGATTTACACTCATTTACCAACTGTGATGCAGACATAGTGGCACTACATAATTCATTAAATGTAAATCATCCCCAAACACTATTACGTTGTTCTTTGGGTATATGTTAATAAACTATTCATTTTCTCAGCATCAGATACAGTACACACTGGATGCTCAGAGTAACCCATCAACAACATTCTAGTGTGTACAAGTCTTAAAGAACAACTCTTTCTATCTGAGAAGTAGAATGTTATTTTAAAATAGGGAGCTATTGAAATTTTGAAAGTGCAACTAAAAGCTTCTTACGATGGTCTAACCCAGCCTTTCTCAACCTTTTCAACACAGAAGAACCCTTGAAATAACTTTTCAGGCTCAGGGAACCACTGCTAAAAATGGCTATATCTACAACTCATGATACATCAGTGTGAAGGTCATTGGGAAGAATGCTCCTTACATTTGTTGTCATTGGAAATAATTCCCCCTTACAGATAACTAAAAAGATCATTGGTGTCAGTGAGAACATATCTGAGAAGCAGACATTGATCATTAATCAAGAAACCCCTAGGAACCTCTGGAGGAACCCTGGGGCTCCATGGAACCCTTGTTGAGAAACTTTGGTCTAAACAAATACCAAATTCACTTTTTATGCTCAAGTCTCATAAAAAATAAACAAAACCCTTCCTTTACCTTACCTTACTTGGCTGAGGCAAATCCTCCTTCATTTGTGTCTCACATGCTTCCCCCTCCAGACACTGCAGCTCGCAACCAGAGGGTTTCAGCAACTTAGGAAGTGCTGTCAATCTGGAGACGGCAGGACTAGGTTTGGTCAGGTGCTGATCGACAAGCTACAGGCATCAGTAGTAACATTTTTCTATCCCACTGTAGTGAAGGCAGGCACAGAGTACAAGTGAGTGGTAACTCTGCTCTAAATTCACAAGAAATGTGACTTTGCTGGCAGACTGAACATGTATTTGTGGGACTTTGCAGGGGGATTAAAGAAAACTGTACAATTCAATTACACTTATAAAGTGCTGTAGCACAATTTTAATGGGAGCCCATAGTTTTACTTTAACAGCCAGTTGACAACATAACTTCTTTGCAAAGGGGGGTGGGGCAGAAGATATTCAGTATGTACACCTCACAGCCACCTCCTTCAATATATCATCCTATCAAAACAACATATGACAGCATCATTTAAAGTGCAACTCCAGGTGGAGGTATAGAGCCTTGGCCAGGTTTTTTATTACTTTCTATGTCCCTGTTGGTGAAATTTTACCTGACTTTCACAATGGGCTAGAATATATCTTCAATAGGGAGCTAGACAAAAACACATTTTTAGCAGAGTGAAGAAAGGCTTGAACTCTTGGAAATGTTTATAACTAATACTTACAGAAAATTTGGAGCTTGCTCAATATTTACCAATACATAAATAGACATAAGTAGTGCCTATAGGACCAAAACGTGTTAAATATAATCCACACTATTTATAAAACTATAACATAAATACTTAATATACAGTATATACAATGCACATTTATACAAATAACTTATAAAAATGCATGTGGAAAAGTGCTCAAACAATGATTCACAAGTGCTTGAAATAAACATTCTAGTTGAATTATTTAAAAATTGGAGCCGGTTTATGGCCACTCAGGGTGGACTGACAACTCATGGGGCTCCCGGGCAATAGGGGATCATGGGGCCCCTGTGTCCTTGCCCAAACTCAAAAAAGCCTATGAAAAAGGTACCAGGGGCATCTCATGGGGCCCCCTACTGGCCCCGGGCCCACGGACAGTGCCCGAGTTTCCAAATGGTCAGTCCGCCCCTGTGGCCACTCCAGTATAAGAAAGCTTGCATGATGCAACAGATTGTTGTTCTACAGAAGCTAATCTAGTATCATCAAAGAATATTGGTAACTTGCAACATGCGAGGTGTCAGATCTGATGCTCATTTTTACTATTACAAGGAAACAAGTAAAAGTAAAAACTAGGTGCATAGTTATATATTTAAAGCGGAGCTGTGTATTAAAGCGGAGCTCCACCAAAAGGGGAAGTTACGCTTTAATGCATTATCCCCCACTCCCCGTTAAGGATTTGCACTTTTGGGGAGTGGGTACACGAATTTGACAGGTACCCACTCCCAGTGCGATCACCTAAGGTGATCGGAAGCAGAAGTTGTCCTCCTTTCTCCCTCCCCATAGTCTTCTGGGAAACATGAGAGGTCCCAGAAGACTATGGGACCATTCACAGTGCTACTTGCGCATGTGCAGTGAGCACCCGGCTGTGAAGCTGCAAGCTGTCGCAGCTGGGTGCCCACACTGAAGATGCGCCGTGGAGAGAAGATGGCTGGTGAAACCAGCCTTGGCGAGGACACAGCTGGACCATGGGACAAGTACGTTTCTGTAGTTTAAAAGTCAGCAGCTACAGTTTTTTTAGCTGCTGACTTTTACCTTTCTTTTAAATCAGCTAAAACTCCAATTTAAGCAGCTACTTGTTTCAAAACTATATCCTGTTTTCATTATTACAGGCACATGGAGACCTCTGCTTGCAGCCAAATAAACTGGTATGTTTTTTTTTTTGGGGGGGGGGGGTGTATTGGTAAGTAATTTGTATAAATGCTAAAGGTTCTTGTTAAAGCAGTATTAAACTATGTTTTTTTAATGGGCTCCCAGTGAGGTTGTGCCATAATGTACTAGTATGCACTGCATATTAGCACTTTATGGCAGACTTACTTGTCAAACCAACACTCCGACGCTGCACTGTCACTGATCCAGCTGGTCCACGACACTTCCATCTTCGCCCAGTATTTTGGGTTCAGTCTCTCTGGCTGTTTGATGTCACTCTTGTGCATGGAGGAGTCATTTCATCACAGCACAGAGCGAATGCTGTAAATGTGGTCTGGGCTGCACATGCATGCCATAGATTACATTAGCGCTGATAAGCTAGGAGTGCCATTTATAACAGAAGAGACCACTGGGGTCTCTTCTGTTATAAAAACCCTGCCTGTCAGTAGATTTTTAGATTTTTTACTTTAAAACTTCTTCAACATTTGCCAACTGAAAATACACCATTTTACAAATCTAACCAACTAACATTATTTGTATATAACTAAAAAAAAAAAAGTTTCAGCAGAAAAAAAGTTAAAAACCTTTAAAATTCTTTTTTTGGTATCCTGGTATCACTTTATTCCAGGGTTTCCCTTTAAAGATGTGAACAAAGTGCTTTCAGTGCCAAGTCTAAGTCTCAGCATAAAAAAAAAAAAAACCTCAATATTACTTTCAAAGAGATGAGGCAACATCGACAGTGTCTACAACGGCGACATTTGGTATCTTTTTCCAGATAACTTGAGATTTAACAGTCATTGCCTTTATGTTTGAACCTGCACTACCCATTATATCTTAGACTGTCTACACAGGCGGAAGACATGACTTGTGCACAATAGCCCACTGTGACCTATCAAATTGCACTGGAAGCTGACTTAATGGATTCAAACAAGCGCTTCCAAACGTGAATGGAAAAATAATGTGCATCTTTCTGCCCTGAGGCAATGTCTAACAGCTAATGATTTCAGCTACCACAATGTATTATATACTAGCATGCTAAGTGTTGTATTTAATAGCACTAATGGAGAATTAAGCACATCAGTGTGGTTTGTACAGGTAGGTCTTAGTTACAAATATCCTATTAATATATGGTTTGATTGCAGACAGTGTTTCTTTGTAAAATCTTGCAAATTAAAATCTATCATATTAAAACACATTCTGGAGATTACTAATTTCAAAACAGCATTATTTAGTAGTATCATAGAAATGTTTAAGATTGCTGGAATATTAAATTTCCAACCTACTGGGAATAAGAAAACTATTAAATATAGAAAAATAATGAAAAACAAAATGTAGCTGTGGTAGAACTGTATGGAGTGCATGGAGCAGCCAAACTGGTGCTGAAAATAGTATTACATTCAAAAGCAAACATTTATTATATTGCAGCTTACCAATTCTTAGATGTGATGGCTGCATTAGTTTTCTTTCTTCTATTTTCATCTGGCAATCCATCCAACAGGTCTGTTGTTTTTTTCAAAAGGAAAAGCTCTCCAGCAGAATGTATAATTTTACATGGATGAGAAAAACCACTTAACAGTGATAGGAGTTTAACTTCAATTTGTTAGTATATCTGGGGAGCGTGGTCTGGGCATGAGAGCATGAGGACATGGAGCCTGAGAGCTCCCGTACACCCGGGGCTATTTACCACTTCATAGAGCATGGGCTCTGACATACACATAGCCCACTATGCTGGGGAAGCAGCAGGTGTTTTCCACACCTGCCCGGGCCCCACAGACTCGCTCTTGAGCCCTGGATTCTTACTTTACTGGGACTGCTCCATGAGGAATCCAAGATGGCGCCAGATCACCCTGTGGCCTCTGCCTCCTCTCCAGCCACTGCCTCTGACCATGGGGATGCTGCCAGCTCTTCTCAGGTATGCTGTGCTAACCCTACTCCTTCACATGCTTCTACACAGCCTTCAACAGCGGACTCAGTACTAGATGACATTACAGGAAACTGGGATA